CCCCCCCCCCTTTCCGATGGCGGCGGCGGTGGCAGGGTGGGCTGACCTGTGGAGGCCATAGCAAGGGCCGACCTGGCCCCGGCCGGCTCTAGGACAAGATGACCTATCTGCAGGAACTTGAATATAACGTACAACAGACAAACTTAGGTCTTTTCTTAAAAGCGTCAAAATCAACACATTTACATAATTAAACAAAACACACACACACAAAAAAAAACTCTACTCCTAATTGTGCTTTGCAAGTGGTTTTGACTTCACAGAGCCAAGGTCCATTAATATTTAAAAGAAACTAGGCAGACCTTCACTAAGTATAACAAGCACACTACCTTGAAGCACACTTATCTTATGATTCTTTTCAGAAGGATTGCCATTTCAGCCAATTACAGGTTTAATGAACAGAGTGACTGCATTGGCTGCATTGGTTTGGTAGCAGAAAAAAATTTAAATGGCAGGAGCAGATTAATAGATAATAAACCAAAACATAATTCAATGGATTTAAATATCCCATTGCCAATTTTTTACTGAACTACATTATAAAGTTAAAACAACTATAAACCAGAAGAACGGATATGTAGAATGAGTAGTTTAAAAACAATTCACAGGGTTATGACAATTTTTGACAATGTGTGATTAAAGGAGAACAGTTGTATAAAAAGCGCAAAGTTTGAAGAAATGAACTGTAAAATTCAAGGCATATCTCAATCACATTAATTTACTTCTTTCCTGTCAATTAGTAGAAGTGTGTGCTAATGAGTGGAAAAAAAAATACAAACCAAAATAAAATCCATTCGTTTCACAAAAACACAAATTAGATTTGAATTATCTAGAGGGGGTTGAATAACGTTGAGTGCCAAGCATATTGGCATATTATTGTTATTTTTATTGTGATTATCGTTGTTTTGTCGACCGTATAGGTTAAGACAACTCACCCAAAGCTCGGTGCCCCAACTCATCTTGAGGAAGGTGCAAATCCAAAATGGGGTTGTAATCCACAGCACAGAGGCGAAACTAAACACTCAAAAATCAAAATTTCACGCTCGCGGGATTTAATTTACGCCAGTAAACGCAACTCAAACATGGCGAATCACGTCAACAGCATCGGGAACGGCCGACGGGTACGTCCACGAACGTCCCTGACGAACACAGAAGACACACTGACGACTGACGTCACGGCAAGGTCCGACTCGGATTCAAAAACAGGATCTGTTGGCCATAAAACCTGCCACTACGTGCGGCCAGCATTCAGCTTTTTGAGAATCGGACATTAATTCCAAAAAATGCCAAGCCACTGAGCCTTATCAGCCTGTTAAATCACTGTGACATTTGTAAAATATTTATCTTTCTTTTTTGAGAAAATTCGTGTGCTCACCTCCTAGCTTTCGGAAAGCAATATGTTAGTGCTGATATGTTGGCAGAAGTGCATTAAATTAAGAAAAACAATTGAAAGACAAACAAATGCTGGACCGCTTTTGAAATTCTGACAGCTGACCTCAGAAGAGCCCCAAAAGGTGTTTAAGGTATATTTTATGTTCTTATTTCACGAAATTATTCAGGATGACAGAAAAGGAAGCACGCAAAACTGCAGAAGATCTGCAGGAGTGGGCCAAACGAATGGGCTTTACTCCGGGGTCCAAATTTGTTAGTGCAGAAGAGTTTCCAAGCACCGAAGCATTTCAGAAGTTAGTTCTCTTAGTAGTAAATTAATTAGTAATGATTTAGCCTTAAAAAAAATTCTTTATATTTGACCCAATTTGTTTCATCACAGATTATGCAAAGGAAAATCAATTGCTTTCTGGCAAGATATCTTGAAGAATGTCAGACCAAAGAATGAAGTATTGCACATTCAGAAGAATCTGCTTCTTGACCGATTAAGGAAGGGTAAAACTCTTGAGAAGGATCCAGTGAGTCATTCTTAATTCTTATATGAACTTCAACCATTCACCTGCTAATCCTTATATTTATTTCATTGTTGTCAGCTTCCTGGTATTGGCAAACAATTCCTCCTTGCCTCAAAACTTGCTGCACAGCAAAAGGAGAAAACTGAGCTGCTGGAATCCATTCAAAAGCGTGAAACTGCTATTAAGGCTAAGGAAAAAGTGTTAAGGAAATCAGGCCATAAGATCATTGAATTAGATAATCAAGTTGATGAACTAAAAAAGAAACAACTAATGTTTAAACTGAAGGCTGCTGATTGCCGTTCAAAGATAGATTGGTTCAAAGAGATCTCAGATGTTGTCAGTGATCTATGTCCCCCTCCACCAAACGCCAAGCCTTCAACAAATATGTCATCTGATACTGCTGAGGTTTTTATCTAAACACGCTCAAGAAACAAGTATTACTAAAAGTGCTCTTGATTATTAATACCTTATTCATTTTAGGCTGCTCTGCGCAAATGCACTGATGCAATCAGAGAATTTCATTCTAAATCACCTGAAAATGATCTTGAAATAAGTAAAAGTGACGAGACCGAAGATGCTCATTTAAAGCACCTGTGGGAAAAATTTAGATCTAATATTAATGGATGGGGAGCTAAGCAAATATCAGATGCTCTCTGTCAAGTTTTAATGCCAGAACTGATTGATGAGATATCAGCTCTCTGTGCAGATGACTCGACTACTTCAAGGTTTGTATTGTCTGTAACATATAACTATTTTCATTGTTTACCCTCCTGCTCACCGGCGCCTGTCCCCTACACCCCATAGAAAAATAAACAAACAAAAATATGCTTTTGTTTTAACTTTTACAGATCATCTGATGCCCATCCATCTCTCATCAACAATGCTCTTGCTATTTTGCCTGCCAAGCAGATGGAATATGTTCTTGAGTTTATTAATCTGTCAACTAAATCAAAGATTCAGGAAGATGAGATACAGAAATTAAAGGAAGAACTCACTGAAACACTTAGTGTAAGTTTACAATGCTGAAATGATGATTATTTCTTTCATAAAAACCATTTTTATTTGCTTTTCAACCCTCTTTGCACAGCTTTTGAAAGAAAACACTTCTATGCTCAATAAGTCATCTACTAACACACCTGAAATCGTAAAAGTTTGGATTGAAGCACAGTCAAAGAAGGCTCAGCTTTCGGCTAAGCTGCAAGGCATTAAGTTCGAAATTGCTAGACTGAAGGAAAGTGTCCCTTGTCGGTCTGTCGTCTCATCAAGTTTGAAATTAGTGAAAGAAGAATTAGCAAAGCTTGATTTGCAAGTGGTACGCCTAGTGAAATTTTGAAGTGGCTCAAATATGGTTTAATAGTTTACTAATCCATCAATGCACTACAGGACAATGACAAGAAGCAGGTGGAGCAAAATCTAGCTCACATGAAAATGGTCAGTGTCAGACTCAAATCAGCTCAGTCAAAAGCTCTGAAAATGCGCTCTGATTTTAACAGTCAGGTGCCTCAGTTCTTTAAAAGGGCAAGAAACAAGAGTTTTGATTCTGATACAGACATCTCCAGTCCTCGAGAGTAAGTTTTCCAGCTCTGTAGGCACTGTTTTCATCAATTTCAAATATGTTATTAGTTATAATTTAAGTTAATTTATTTTACAGGAAAGTCCCATTTACATCTACAATGATTGAAAACGATAAACTTGATCCAAATTTTACTCTGGATTCAACTTGTCTTTCTGTTGTTGAAAAATTTGGACAGTTACACCCTTTAGATTTTGTTGCATCATTGAAAGAGTCTATTTCCAAAGAAGCCAAATTATTTATCAAAGTGCACTTGGATCTTGTGCCTTTTGTGATTCGTAACGGGTAAGTCCATTTAAAGAGGGATAGTTCTGATAATTCTCTTAATGAAGTTATTCAAATGTCCTCTTTTGTTAACTTGACATTATTTCTTCACAGGAAAAGGGAATCCATGTCCAACTTAATGGTTTTAGCTCCTCAGATGACATCTCATTCTTCTAACATGCCACATCGAAATTTCCTGCAGATTGTGCCTGGTACTCCGTTTACTAGTGCACCTCAAATACTTCTGAATCATTTGTGTGCTCAGAACCATTTGAGAGCTAGACACCTCTATAAAATTCTTAAGGACCTTCCACCTCTCACTGCTCTCCAAGCACCTAGTAAATACATAAATTATTGAGTGCTTTCTGTTTCTATATGTTGTTGAAGAGATCAAACACATCCTTGTTTAACTTTTACTTGACATTCCAGAAATTACAGAAGCATTGCTGAAGCAGATTCCAAAACAAGAAAAGGTTCTGCTAGAGAAGATTGAAAATGCTCATGCATCTGCGGGAAAGCTTGAAATGCTGCTTTCCAAGTGTAGGAGCAATTTGGAGCATTGGTCTGTATTTACTTGTTTCTTTAATTTTCAATCTACATGCTAATGGGAAAAAAGTTAATTTAAATAATATATTTTTTGATATTTATAGGGTGGAGAGACCAGTAAGAAATGCTGTTCCTTGTACGATGATCGTCAACGGACGGACGTTCAGCGAATGGTGTGCACTTTATGACGAAAAGTCAAAGGTAGAAAAGTAAAATAAATTCCACCTGTCTGATGTGCTTCTTATGTTAAATCCAGAATCTATCTATGAATAGCTATGAAATTTTGTAAATATGTGTTAGAAATTAAACTGCGAGTTCCACTCAACATTACAATCAAACAGACTGATTTTATTTATAACCTCAATAATACATATGTCGACAAGTGTTCCACAATCCATGTGTGACTAAAGGTTGCATAGTCTCTGAAGAGACCAGATAGCCATGGTATGAGATGAATATGAAGTTGGGACAACCACTTTACAATTTTAGAGTCATGCATAGTGCCTTTCCTGACCAGAAATGAGGTAGATGATATTCACAATTCAATAAACAGCTGTACACTAGATTTTAAAAAGCCAGACTTTAAGCTTCAAGCATTCAAAGATGCCTGAAGGTAAAAAATTCTTTAAGCTATAACAAGACCAAAATGAGCAATCAGATATGGAATTTTTTATATACATGTCTGATGTTTGATAAGATACATTATCCATAACACTATATTGGTTCACTGGCACAGTCTTGGCCAAAGTCTCCAAATAGCAAAAAATTAGGATGGCCTCTAACTACTTGGCACAGCATCCAAGTATCAGTCAGCCAGTGCACTGATCGGCAGTCTCAGAAGAAAAGATGACACGCACACATACATGCACACACACACACACTCTTGTGACTCAAAGCAAAAAAAACCTCACATATACAAGAAAACTTTCTAGATTCAAAGTCAATCAACAGATTTATTTTAACCACAATAATGTCGAGTATCAGGCAATAGACCTTACAATAAAAAGGCTTACTTCAGAAAAAAAAAAGTTCAGCTGATAAATTATGTGCATATCTTGATTCAATTATAAGACAATAAAAAATAAAACTTTAACCTAAAATTGGCAATAGCTTTCCCGCTAATCTTGAATAATGACAATAGAATATCGGGTAGTTATGACACAGTGTACCTGCGCTGTGCCACATTTCACTAAAACATTGATGGCCTAAAGACTCATCATGACACCTCAAGTAGTGCAGTAACCCCAAGTAAGTTCAGTTTAGTTCAAGAGTAAGAATAGAGGGACTGACTATGGCAATGAAAATTATTAACATGGCTCACAACTTGGGAAAACCAAAGAACGAGGTCAACATCAAAAAATATTGAGTAGAAGGGAGATTTCAATCAGAATCTACTATTAAGTTCACACCTTGTACCAACACCAATCCAGTACACATGTGAAAAATTATCAATAAAGGCTTGCAAAAAGTAGGGAAAGGACAATCTGCCATGACCAAGGATGATCATCATTCAAAAATAAATTCTGCTAATGATTGGTCAAACCAGAAAAAAGGGAGGAAGCAATGGCTCCACCAAAAGATGAAATCTGACAAGTTTATTCGACAGACAGAGAATAAAGTGTCTATGATAAACAGTTTTAACTCCATAGTGTATTGACCAAGCTTCAATCTGCTGTTTCTTCAGGACCATCATCTTCTTCATTCAAAAATGCATATTTATTGGAAGCCACAAAGTTCTGGAGGATAAGAAACATACGAATGGTTAATAACATTTAACTTGGATTGAAGGTATAAAAATAACAGTTAAATTGAAACTTACAGGTATTGGCTTTTCCTCATACTTGGGAAGGCGAGGTTTATCCTCATTGGAATGATCTCTGCGTGACGGCCTGAGACAATTTGAAAAAAATTGTTATTAGACATTTCACGTTAGAAAGAAAATGTTAGTACAGACAGTACAGTGGGTGTCAACAGCATGCTTTACTCATAAAAGAGCAAGAAAAGAAAAAGGGAGGGTTGACATCCTGGTTGCTGACAAAAAGCCCTCTTATCTTATTGGTGTTAATTTGGCCTGAACCCCCCCATCACATTGCACTCACAAATTGAAGTTCAAAAACCACACACAACGTAGCACTTAAGGTATTAATGGTTAGATTTTTAAAACTCATAAGATTGTATTAGAAAGAACTGCATACCGTAGTTAAACCAAAACTACGTACCAACCGCTACTTAAATAATTTTAAGATCAACAAAATGAAAAACAAATTAAAAGTTACAAGTTAGAGAAAACGAGTTTCCTCCAGCCAAGCAACAAACCAAAGTTTCGGGTGGTAGGCTGCGTATTAATTGTGAGTTAATTTGCATATACATAACATGTTTGCAACTTGCAATTTGCAACCAACACACCTATATTTTATTTCCACAAATAGGATCAAACGGAACCATGCCGACAGCCCAGCTGTACCGCGCTCACCTATCTGGAAGATGTTTTCCCTTATTTCCACCACTTCCACCACCACCAACCCTCTCTACCTTCACTTGGCCCATTCCCCTAGAGGGTCCCTGAGGGCCAATACGACCAGAACCTCTGCCACCCTTGCGCGCGTACCTTTCAGAGTTGTTGCCATCTTCTGTAAAAGATAACACTCAAAATTAGAACACATGTTTCATTAAAAGACTCCCAAACAATTAATGGACAAAATAATGAAAAAATTACCTCTGCCGCGGGTGAATTCTCCGTCTTTGTTGTCCCTAGATTTACTCCTGTTGTTGCGGTCCCTCGATACACCTTCCACTTCATCTTGCTGTGACGTCTCTCTACTGCGATTTGGGCTTGAGGGTCTCTCCGAACTGCCTGGAGATGTAGCTCGGTGACTTCCATTATTAGCCTTAGAAAAAAATCAATCAAATAGAATGTTGAGAGTAAAAAACACAGATTTCTTGCCAGGTAAGGCAGATCAACTCACATTAGGTTCAATCACTGGACGGCGTGACCACGCATTTTCTTTGGGAGGTGGAGCAACCTCTACCTTTTTAGTTTCTTCTCCCTGATCAGTACCCTCTTTAGACCTGAAACAAAAATTTCAGAAGCTTTAGTTTCAATAATACTTAAGAATAGATCTGACCGTTGGAACTGTTTCCATTTAACAGTAAAGAGCAATGAAAATAAAAATTACTTTGAATTGTCTGTGCTTCTCTCTCGATCATCGCGGCGAGGCACGCGCTCCTTCTCGCGGTTGAGTCTTTCCTCTATTTCACGTTCACGGGCAGTTGTGTCCACAGGCTTTGCAGCTCCGAAAATTGACGCCCTTGGAACTGAAGGTGCTGGTGGGTCAACAGGTTTCTTTTCCTCAATTTCACGTTCACGGGCAGCTGTGTCTACAGGCTTTGCAGCTCCGAAAATGGAGGGTCTTGCAGATGGTGGTTCAGTAGATTTCTTTTCCTGATCTTCTGGAGGAGGGTTTTCAGATGGCTTGGAACGTGGTGCCAGGTTGAGTCTGGGCCTTTCTTTAGGTTCACCTTAAATCAGATGGAAGGAAGACAAATTAGTACTAAAAAGAACATTAATATCAATTGTTTTTCAGAACGAAGAAATAAGCTGATATACCAGATGACTCCGAGGGAGGTCCATCATCGCGACGGGCGAACCTCTCGCGATCTTCTTCCCTTTCACGATCACCATAGCGTGGGCGATCTCCGCCGTAACGGTCGCCATCCCGATCACCAAATCGGGGACGGTCCCCGTCCCGATCACCATAGCGAGGACGGTCACCATCACGGTCACCATAACGAGGACGATCACCATAGCGATCACCTCCGTCCCGATCTGAACCCCACCGACTCCTGTCTCGGTCGAATCCACCGTCCCTATCCCTGTCACCAAAGCCGCCTCCTCGGCTACGATAGGAGTCACCACCAAAACCACCACCCGACGGCGCGGTTCCAGATCCCATTCCTTCACGCCAGCCTCCTTCTCGGATTTCTGATTCACGAGGAGCACCGAAACCACCCCCCTCTCGATCGCGGCCTTCACGATCACCAAAGCCACTGCTGCCATAGCCACCGCGTCCACCAGGGCGTCCTGATTGATAAAAAATTACATTAAAAAAAACGTATCTCTTCCAATGATAAACAACAAAACAAAACAAACATTTAAAGTACTTACGATCGCCTTCAGGTTCCATCCGAGGTGCTGATCTCCAATCACCTGTGGCTCTATCAGGGTCATCATCCCTACCCATGCCCATGCCCATACGGTCTCTGCCCATACGGTCTGACCTTCCATAGCCTCGGTCTCTATCATTATTTTCTGATACATCAATCCGTATCCTTCGACCTTTCATGCTCTAAATCCGAAAATAATGGATTAATTTTCTTTTCAAATAGTCAAAATTATAAAAAGCATACTTAATTTATTTTTTAAATTACCTTGTCACTGATTTGAAGTGCTTCTATGAGGCCTTGCCTCTCTGTGAATTCTACATATCCATAGCCTTTAAGTTTCCCTGTGGCATCATTTTTTGGCAGTCTTATGTTTTCAATCTGTAACAGAGATTGCACAGAAAAATAGGTAAGCAGTCTGAACAAGGATTTGTTGCAACTACAATACAGCACACACTAAGAAAGATAGATTTTCTTGTAGATCTACTTTCGACCAGCAGGGCAACAAATATACCAACTGGTGTCTGAGCGATCAAACATTCTAGCCAACTCAATTGAACTCCAACAGAGCTAATATGGCTCTAAGGAGTAGTTGAGGGCATTTATATCAGAAACATTTGTATCAGAGCTTAATAATGTTGGCTATCTTACGACCAGAAATGCAATATAATAGCACATTGGTGTCTGAGCTGCCAAATAGTATAGCAGAGTTGACTGAACTTTATACAAGGGATTCTGGCCTCTCAAAAGAAGTCAATTGCATTACTAATACATTATTTTGAGACCAAATGTAGGTTTACTTACGACCAACAAAGTAATGAAAATACTAACTGGTGTCTGAGCAACCCGGTAATCTAGCACAATAACTGAACTCTCTCAGAGCGAGTAGGAACTCTGGGAAGGAGATATGTGCAGAACGATGAAACTACGTAGGTAATTACTTTCCTCTTTTGAGAAAATAAATTATTACTCGTGTAGAACAATATATGCTAGCCAGTTACAAAGTAAAATAAATTTATATTGTTTGTACTTCTAATCAAATGATACTATGACGAATTGAGCAGCAGTGACATAGTCAATGACACTAGGAAGACTCACCATGAGATCGCCAAAGAATTCCACAATGTCCTCTTCAATGAGTTCAAATGGGATGTTGGTGATGTAGGCCACATATGGAGGGGCATTGGGCACTCGTTCATCATCACTGCCACGAGCAGAGCGTGGAGCAGTTGGTAAAGCAGATTTACGGGCAGCAGCAATCTGAAGCTCTATAGAAAAAAAAGTATGTAATCAAGCAACAAGAAGTCTCCACAGCAAATAGGTTGAAAATTAAATGAGAAACTCACCACGCTCATCAATTTCGACTTCATCAGCCCAAGCTGTCACTGGACGGGTTTCCGCCAGGACTGTTGTGAGCTCCACCTTCTTCCATTTGTTTTTCTTGTTTTTCTGGCCTGAAAAAAGTCAAGAATAATTTATAACATGATTTCATCACTATACCAGATGTCAAGAACAGAAAATACGAGTGGAAAGGTGGGAGGGAAAATGAATATTAACCAGTTTACAAGGTTGAGTCATAAAACACTTTGAAAATTGATAACTGAGTAATTAATTAAATGAAGTGAAGGATCAAGAGACCAATAGTTTGATTGAAATATTCGGTGGTTAGTAACACCCGCAGTGAGTGAAGGTACGGATCGCCTTCAAATTTCAGGTGGGTTAAAATTCCTAGACAAGTTCACTTCTACGGGAGGCAACAAGGAAGAAGCAGTTCAGAGCATCAGTGCAAGACGAGTGTCACGATAATGCAAAGATCCGCAGTAAAATACCTACTCATTTTTCAGAGGTGAAAGCTGGCCGGTAAATTACCCCCAAATCCGCCAACTAGTCAACCAGCTTGGAATTCTGGACTAACCACGAGGTTGATCTAGCGGGGGATTGTGGATCTGACTATAACGAATTTTGGGGGGTCTGAATAGGGGTTACTGGGTTCAAAACAAAGGGGGATGCATTAAGTGTGTATTGTACCCCTTCATGACAACAAGGATGACAAGAAACCTCGTAAAATGGGAAAATGCACTTCACGTGATTTGCACCCAACTACGAACCTGAAGCAGCCATCTTGAAGAACACAAATACCTCTCAATCGAGCCAACATTCACGACGAAACTCAATGTTGTGTTGAGAACTTGCGAAATGAGTACAGTAGTAAATCTTTAAAGCTTTTTCATTAGTCCTACCAATTTTTATGTTAGAAATACATCTTGGTCTTTTGGGCCAGAATTATTTCAGCTCATCCCGGCAAATCTAGTTCTGAAATTAGTCGCGAAGGTTTGATAGCCACGGTCATCCGTTGCCACGTTTTCCTGCTCTTTCGCGCATTATTTCGAAATAGATATGAGTATGGAGCGGGTAATACCGGCATTACCGGCACTGGATGTTATGCAGAAAAGAACTCAAAACCTAAGCATTGCTCATGAGACTGAATCTATAATGAAACGAAAGCAGAAGTCCCTCAAAGCGAATTGAGCAATGTAAGTGGTGGACGCACGAAACATAACGAAACACTTCGGCACGTACAGGACGCCGCGATGCCAAATCTCACCCCTTTTTAACAGTCCACCAAATTTGTGTTCCTAACGCTGACAGAGGAGGACTAATAATAACTAATCACTACCAATTTGAGTCCTTATTTCTATACTACAGGCTATAACATTGCACTCACGTCTGAACTGCCACAGTAAGTCATTTAGTAGTCTGTCTACACCGGCAGAGCATCACATAGTGCTTCACATTTTTGCTAACAACTGATATTTTTATTGGTGCTGAGCATGCAAAAAAATATCAAAGTAGCAACAGAATGTACAACGATACGATGGACACTCATCAAAATTCCTTTATCTACTTTGTACTTTCTAGATCGATAGCCACAGGAAAACCCCCAATCTTTATGGTAGGATTATAGGAGCTACATCTCCACCAACACATACAACAATAAAGATTTACCCTTTGATTTACCATTCCCATCTCTAGATATCTGGTATTTGTAAAATAGAAAGGACTTGAGTTTCAACTGAGGAAGGTTCGTTTATATGTTTTTAGACCAATATATTTTTGATTATAACACAAACAACTTACAAATGAAAAATACAAGTAACATTCTGTAATTAAAAATTATTGATGCCAAAGTATCACAGTTATTTTAATCTTCTGTCCAGTTAACATCAGCCCAGGCTGGAAGAGATGTTTCATAAGACCAATTGGGACCCTCATAGCGAAGAGCATGAAGATACATTATCAGGTCCATTGGCTTTGGATCCCTGTACTGCACATTACACTCAGAACAAGTGGGTTCTCTTGTGAGCTTTTCAGTGCGAAAGTGAGGGTCAGGTTCATCATGATTTGTTTGGGTAGCAACAGAATTGAGAGGGAGATTATCCTCTTCCCTGGATAAATTTTCAAGATCGCAACTTGAACATTCATTGTCATTGCTATCACCAGTTACAGTTTCAACAAGAGGAATAGACATGACACCTGCACCTTCGCTTCCATCCAATCCTAGCCAGTTTTCAGCATTATGGATATGAATTAAATCTTGAATAAGTTCATCATCTGTCTTTCCAATTTTGCCCCCTTTTCCTTTCTCAGGTCCAAACACAGGGTGATTGTACAGGGGATCTCTTAAAACAGGATATCCTAGATACTGTAAGTGCACTCTAATTTGATGCATCCTGCCAGTGTGAGGCATGCACCGAACCACACTTATGTTAGTTTTTGGATTAAAGCCAACTTTCTTGAATGTAGTAGAGCATTCTTTCCCTTTAGCTGAAACTTTGCAAACACCAATTTTAAAGCTCACAACCTCTATGGGCTCAGTGCATTCAATTTCTTCAAAAGGGAAATCTCCCTCCACTCGGCATACATACTCCTTATGCACCAATCGATTTCTTATCTGCTCTTCTAGTTCTAAAGCTTTTCTGACAGTTCTCCCAAACATCAACATTCCACTTGTTAATCTATCTAAACGATGAATGGTCCGTAAATTTTTAAGATTATATTCTTTTGCAAGAATAAATACTATTGTGTTGTGCCTATATCTACCACATGGGTGTACGGGAATGGAAGCTGGTTTGTTAATTACAACAACATCTTTGTCAATGTGGACAACTTCGATAGGACTAGCCACAACAGGTACTTCATGGCGATGCACAACATTTGCCAACAGGTCATTGTGTTTTAGCTTATAATCGACAGATACTTTTTCATAATTAACTGTAAGAGATCCTGCCTCAATGCAGCGTTTATACTCATGAGAAGGGTGCGCCCTAAACTCCCTAGAAAAGACATCAAGTACAGTATCACCCACCCAGCGACCCTTCGTAAAGGTAGTAAATGTAAAATAGTAGGGATAAACTTTGCGTAAACCTTTGTCAAAATAGTACGTTGTTTCACTGAATCGGTCATCTGAATAACCAGGCCTAGTCTGCTTCAGAGCATTAGCATTAATTATCTTTTTAGCAGTATCAGGCAAAGTTGCATCAAGTTCTAAATCTTCAGATTTTATGTCACCTGCAGATGTGTCTGCTGGATTTTTCTGGTATGTGGCATGAGACTGAGAAATTGTGTCTCTCTCTTCAAGTTTTACCTTCTTCTCTCCGATCCCCTCATCAGTATTTCCTGATAAAAGTTTTCTTTTAAGATCTCGTTTTTCTCTTCGCCTTAGCTTTTTATTGTCTGCAAGTTTGTCAGCTTCTTCATCATCTTCATTGTCAGACCAACACTTCACGAGAACTATATTGGAATCTTCGAAAGACTTTGCAGAGCTACATTGAACAGCGACTGATTTTTTCTGAAGGTCATGAGAAGGCTCCTCTGTTCGAGCGACTGTTTCCTCCTCAACCTCTTCAGCTTTTCCTGCCTTTGCTGACATCGAATCGAGCACTGCAGAAGAGTATATGACAGGTTATGGTAAACTCACACTATGACAGATAATAACAACTGAACACAAGAAGGGGCACAAGGTTCCTTAAATGCAGCTTCCAACGTACGGAATCAAACTTACTGTTTTGAACGTCGTCAAAACACGTACTGATCACAATTTTGTCCCCTAAATCAGAGCAGTGCCGAGAACAGGTGCTAGCGATGGTAGTTCACTACTCCACACAGAAATTCATAACCTCGCGCTAGTACGTTCGTTCCAATCAGACCAACAAAACAGTTGATGTTTGTGCCCGATTCCATTTTGGTTTGCACTATAATTTTTAAAAAATCATTTTTAAATTTTAATTTTTATTAAGTTTTAGCAAATTTCCCCACTCAGTGTTTCAGCTTGAAAAGCAGAATTCATCTTCGTAATTGTCATGTTGGTGATATTGAAGTCGACCATAACTATCGATTTACTTTCTGCTGTGTTGTTTTGTTTTCTGTTCCCTCGTTTTTTGTCTGCTACTGCTACTGGCGCTAGTAGTGGTAAATAAACATGACATTTTTTTGGTGTGAACTTGTTGCCATAGGAAATGTGTTTTACTCTGAAGTCTCATTCAACCCTTCCATTACAGACAAATTTTGCCAATGTTTATAAAACCCCCACTTGACCTCTTTCGGTGTTTTACGTATCACTTATTCATGAGGCTGGACGACAGGCACCTGCACACTGTACTTTAAAACGCATCTTCTGTTTTCAAATTTTGACGCAATGAGCAAACTGAGAGATACTGGAATCCTTCAAAGAGATGATTTTGATGCTGGTCCGACTAATCTTGATGAAATTGAGCCAGGCCTCTGGTTGGGTAAGTAGACATGATGGGCCATAGAATGTACAATGTGTATACTGACTACATCTTTTCACTTCAAGATAATTTTGCTAATGTCCTTTTTTTCTATTTTCAGGAAATTTGACAGCAGCTACGGACATTGAAACACTCCAATCTCACGGTATATCACATATTTTAACAGTTGATTCATGTTCTTTGCCATGTGCAATCACAGAACGCCGAGGGATGGTGACAAAATTTTTGAAAGGTTCGTTTTTTGTTATTTCTGTATGAACTATTTATTTGTTTCTATTGTTTGCTTACCTAGACATTTCATTGAGTTTTCCCTCATCAGTCACAGACACTGCGCAAGAAGACTTGTTGACTATACTTGATAGTGCTGTAGACTTCATTGCTGCATCGCTTGAAAGTGGAGTTTTACTAGTTCATTGGTACGATTTAAATTTTTTTAAGTTTAAATAAATATTCTATGGCCTTGTGACTAAGTGACTTATTACATTTCTTTGTCCTGTTCCTGTTACAGCTATTTTGGGGTATCCCGAAGTGCTGCTGTGGTTATTGCATACATCATGAAAAAATATTCGATATCCTTCGAGTGTGCCTTTGAAAAGTCTGTAAATCTTTCTTTCATTTTATGAGTGTGCATTTACTCTGAATAACTTTATTTAAAAGTCTCTTGACCTATATTTTCCTTTTGCAGGGTTAAAGAAAAGAGGAGGTTTGTTGGCCCCAACCCAGGGTTTCAATCTCAGCTAAGGCTTTACTATACAATGGGTTGGAAATTAGATGGCACAAATCCTCAGTTCAAATTGTACAGGTTACACTGCGCCGCTTTTCATGTCAGCAAAGGTATTTATCAAAATAAATTTTTAAGATTATATTCTTTTGCAAGAATAAATACTATTGTGTTGTGCCTATATCTACCACATGGGTGTACGGGAATGGAAGCTGGTTTGTTAATTACAACAACATCTTTGTCAATGTGGAC